TTCACAGTGGTCGACACGCCGTCCTCCGCCGCGAGCGTGTGGCGGGCGACGGCGCCGTGCTGCTTCTGCCACTCCAGAACGTTGCTCAGCAGGCGGATGTATCTAGAAAACAAGAGCGCCATTGGTTCACCGTCGATGGCAGCAGAAACAATGGTTGAAGGAGGACACCAAATAGCTCCTTGGAACCTCAATTCCTTCCCTTAATTATTTCCCTTTCTCGGTAAGTAGGACTAGCACGGATGAGATCACGTGAGATCAGGCTTCCATCTTCTGATACAGCATTATGAAGGATGGACTTCGAGCTATGCTTGTCCAATGTAGTACGTACCATAATCGATATGGGTTCACGAGCCACGTCAGCAAGTTGGATGAGAAGACTGGTATGTACCATGGTGGTTGCATATGAATGGAACAGTCTCAGCCGTGCGGAGGGGCGGATGGACGTGTGTCTGCATACAAAAATGCGCATTTTCAACAAAGCACACAGTGTGGGTGCAGTAAGGAGACGGGGTTGGGGGCCGGAGCTGTCCTGGTCTCAGTCCGGGTGGTCCCCAGTTGTGCTTTTGGCTTCGTCGTGACAGTGCCCGACACTCATGGGTAGTGAGTAAGGCTTTCACCCGGTGGACTGTGAGTGGTGATTAAGTCGATTCCGGTGTTATTCCTCGAAAGCTAGTTATCCTGAGTTAGCAGGGTGGCCCTATTCAGCAATAAATGGGAAGGCGTACCTCTGGGTCGCTGCGCGCTGGTGTATCCAGCTGCCAGCCTGACGGAGAGTTAATGGTACCTGAGGAGGGGGGGGTGAATACAGCCAAAAGACCAAGGTGCTTGTTCTGAAGCAAGTTAAATCCCTCTTAATATACATACGTCCCTCTAAAGCGTACTTGGGGAACTTCGCTCCCCTTGAACACAAAAGTTCAACGTCCTCGCGGTAGTGTGTCGATTTCTTTACGTAGGGGCACGGTAAGGGATAATAATCGATTTATATAGTTTATTTATTTAACGTTAACAAGCAGTTAAAATTGTATGGCGCACTATGGGGAGAAGTGTAGTCTATTTGTGAAGGAGAAGTGTAGACATTTTGAACGCCAATAGGGAGTTTGTGCACGCTATAGTGGAAGTACTATCGATCTGCGCATGCGCAGATGCACTAAATTGATGCTAAACGTGAATTACGCATGCGCAGAAGATCGACAGTGCTTTAACGTTCGAGGGTACACAAACTTCGTGAAAACTAACGCAATGTGGATTATCAAAGAAAATCGACCGTATCATCTCAAAACTTTGTTAAGAATGGTGTTTTATAAGACAAACAGTGAGACTTCGGCGATCCTACAAAATCTGTATAACTTTTCAACCAATACTGTTTGAGAATTGCGGTTTATCTCATGATTCACCTCTACAGAAACAAAATTCAACATCAGAAGTTCCCCTAAAAATGTATGACACAATGTTTGTTTCCAGAACTCCTTCCAGAATAAAATACTCAGTAAACTAAAAAGTGCTTGACTTTATATACCTGTTAACGCCCGTATTCAAAACTACTTTATCCACGTCAGGAAATGCTTAAAATGTCACTAATTTCATTTTCTCTTAAAATCTTTGAATTTTCAAAAATTGCTAAAGCCCAATATTTTTTCAGAGTCTTCCTACAACTACTAAACTGAAGAGAGATGTATATTCTTAATGAAATCTGTTGTTCAAAGAGAGGTCTTGAAATACGGGCATCTACAATTTTTCGAAAATGTGAGTAGTTTGGAGGCAATATTGCGGGAAATTTAGGCAATTTTTAAACAATTGCTGTCTCCAAAACGTCTCCAATATTTTTCTTTAAATTTTCTCCTCGTGTGTAATAAAGGACCGTCGAAACTTGACGCTGATCACAATTTAAGTGAACTCAAAATTTAAAAAAAATAGCAAAACAATTATGAGCAAAAATTAGAAGTTTGAGAAACATGTTCATGAAGTTAAAAAGAAGATTAATCCACTTTTCATTGAGAATTTTTTTCTCCAAAAATCTGTTTTCTGACACAAGATTACATAACTTTCTCTTCTGACAAAGTAAGGCGAGAAAGTAAAAATTAAATAGCTGTGATATAATAAGAACACAAATGTGTTGATGCCATTAAAACCCCGCCCATACTGTTGATATAAACGTAAAAATCTCCAATATGAAGGAAAATACAGCTACGGTAAGATGTTCTTTAAAAGGTTGTGGGTTAACTAAATGTAACTCGCGGCCCAAGGAAATGCAGTTTTTAGTCTTTCGCGAGCTTATTTCTTGACACAATGTGAGTCGTTATGTTCTTGCGATTTGTGAATTAGGAAACGACAACATTCGCAGGATTGGTTGCGTGATGATCAGGGCTAAGATTTTTTGGTAAGATTTTTATTTGTTCATTAGTTACAAACTTTTGTTTTATGTTTACGAATTAGGCTTTTTGAAGTGACTCTAAACATATTTTAAAAAATTAAAGAGTTGGTGCAATTTTAAGTGGTTTAGGAATATATCTAGATTTAACTCTCCAAGTTGTTGCGTGATTCCCATTACTTTTGATGTTGAACGGAGTGTTAGCAGTACACAGAAATATTAAGAGACAAAAGTAGCAATTTCATATTTGAAAATAGAAAACAGTGCAAACTCCTTGCTTATTAAAACGCTCACTTGTCAGAATAGAGTTAAGAATCTTACATTCAGCAACATAAAAACTCCTAGTTCGTTTTAGTATGGAAATCATTTATTATTGTTCTATAGCTAACATTCAAAATAAGTAATTTGGCCATAAAAATAAGTAATTAAAGCAATTTACACGTACATTATTTTTCTAATTTTTTACTTTCCATTCACATGTCAGTCCATATGTTACTCCGCATTTCGAATATTTTTTTCTCTATATGAGTATAGTAAATATTTAGTTATATGTTAATACACATAAATCACATCCCTCACAGTGTAAAAAATTAAAGTATACATTTATGTTCCAGGAACATTTTTGAAGTACTGGAGCTATTTCTCCCAAAATTTGGACAAATACTTTTGAAAGGCCGTGAAAGACAGGATATTCGCGACCCGAAAAGGATACCCAGGTAATATGGGACAAAATAGTGAATATGCAACTCGGAATGCATCTAATAAATTTAAACCAGAACAGCAACTTACACATTTTTGAATGCTAGAAGGTTATTTACATATTATCTACTACGAAAATACGATAGTATTTTTTTTTAATTTTCTTTACAAAGATAATTTTGTTAAAATTTAAAGTAGCACAGCAGTCCTGGATTGACTTCAGGCAGTTAAAGGCAGTCCTGGATTGACTTCATCTCATCAACAAATTGTTTCTCTAACCCAACAGGTAATTGAAAAAATCAAAGCTATCAATGGTTACCATAAGCAGTGCATCCAACCCTAAATTTATATTACATAACAATGGAATTACCTCTTTTAACGAAGAAATTGAAAACATTTTAGAATGTACATTTGATAATAATTCAAGCAACAGTAACTTGAACGATGAATTCCAAGCATACAAATCTAATTCGAATATAACAAAGGATAAAATTATTCTGCAAAGTTCTTCCAGTTATTCTGCATTAAACTGTTCCGTACATGTAAAAGAAGTTGAGATTGTGCTAGCTCATACTAGAAATTCAAGCCGAGGGCCAGATGGAATATATAACATTTTTCTTAAAGAACTGCCGACAAATGCTATTGAATATGTAACTCAACTATTCAATGAAATAATAACCAATGGTAAATTCCCTAACAAATGGAGAGAATTTATTGTTACCCCGATTATTAAAAAAGATGCAACTAACCCGAATAATTACAGACCTATATACTTAACGTCCACCTCTACAAATTACTGGAAAAAATTGTCAGTAGAAGACTTAACTGGTACGTTGAATATTATAATAGAATTTCACCATTTCAACGTGGATTCAGACGAAATCATTCTATAACTGACCATCTAGTATACATCCATAGTGATATTTTGATGCCTTAATAACGGAGTGTCTCAAAGATCTGTACTTAGTGTACTACAGTAAAAGTATACTAGTTTGCATTCAGTAGTTCATATCACTATAAAATTAAGTGGGAAAATTTGAAAACATCTCATGAATTGCTCCAAATCACTTTAAATGAAATTCAAGATTGGTCCAATACGACAGGTTTCAAGATCTTTAAAACCAAATCTGAATGCATAGTTTAAAAAAAGGGGAAACTTATCTGATCAATTAAAACTTAAAATATGACCACAACAACTAAAATGTTCCATCCTAATCAAAATCCTAGGAATACTATTTGATACCATACTAACATGGATACCACATATCAAGAATTGTTATACTTTCCGTGGGAAGCCGAAAGAAATGTTATACTTTTAACATTTAAAGTTCTCATTCTTTCCAAGATAGATTATGGGGCAATTATTTACCAGTCAGTTAAACCAACAATATTAAATAGTCTTAACCCAATTCACTAAGCCGGATTAAAGTTAGCCATTAGCCCATATCGAACAAATCCGATTTCGAGCATTCTTGTGGGATTCAATGAAGAACCTCTTCATATCAGAAGAAGAAAACTATGTTTTTCATATGCCAGTAAAATATCATCCACGGGTTCACATGGTCGATGTGACTGTTCGCTACGAGGATGGGTCTAGCCTTTTGAGAGCAGGGGAGGAAGAGGTGGTAAAATACCAACCACTCATCCCCCTGGCAGCCTAACTTCATGGAGTACCCAACGTCAGAATCCGGCCAGTGGTGGTTGGAACCTCTGGGGCTACGCCAAGATTCAGTCAGTGACCTCAAGACCCTGGGGTTCACGTCTCGGGGCGATCTACTGCCTGTCGTTAATTGCTCTCAGAAGCTCTATTAAACTTTACACACAATTTGTAAATTAAGATGGAGCAATTTAGCATTGCTGGTCGTAAATGCAGGAAAGAAACTTCAATGTCCTGTGGGGAAGTCTAGGGAACCCATTGGATGCCTGGGAATTACTCAGTTACCACGACTTTAAGTGGGAAGTTTATGCTATTTAATGTAGCATATAGAAAATTGTGGAGTCAGAATCAATGTTTTGTGGGTTCTTGATACCGAAA